TATCTTCATATTTTTGGATTTTTTTTTCTTTTTGCTCTTCTGGTTGGGTGTTTTGTCCTTCCTCATATTTCAAATCATTGATTTTGATTCTCGGGATCCTCTACTCTACTGTTGAATCCCTGTATATTACTCTTTATTTCAGTCAGTACATGCTTAATTTCTGACTGGTCCTTTTCCTTTTTTGAGGGGCATTCTCACTAAGATCCTTGAAAGTCTCACTAAGTTCCTCAGAGGTTTCTAGAAGATTCTTGAGTAACCTTATAACTGTGGTTTTTGAACTCTATATCCAGTTTTCTTTCTTCCATTTCTTTCATTTGTGACATATTTCTTTGTCTCTGCATTTTGGCTGCTTCCCTGTGTTTGTTTCTATGTATTGGGTAGCTGCTAAGTCTGAGTTGATAGAGTGGCCTTGTGTAGTAGGTGTCCTATAGGGCCCAGTGGCTCAGCCTCCCAGTCACCTGAGATGGACACTGTTGGTGCATCCCTTTATGGGCTGTGTGCACAGTTTTGTTGTAGTTGAGCCTTGATTGCTGTTGGTGTCACTGGGAGTAATTGACCTTCAGGCCAATTGGCTGTGGGGCCAGCTGCGACTACAGTGGGAAAGCTGCTGTGCAGGAGACACCCTTATGGAGCAGGACTTGCTTCAGTGGGGCTTTGGCACTCCGAGTCTACCACTTGAATGTGTTGCTTATGCATGTGAAGAGTTGTGATCTGGTATGGTCTCACACTGACCACTGGGTACACTGGCTCTTTGGGTCTCCAGGGAGGTGCAAAGTCGGCCAATGCCTGGGGCCATCCAGCAGGAGCTATAGAGAGATCTACAAATTCCTCCTATTTGTATTGGGTTTGGAAATGCCCAGACAGGAACAGCTGTGAAGCAAGGCAGGCTGGTGCTGGGTCTCGAGCCTTTTATTGATAGGTTTGGGAATCCCTGACCCAGCTATAGCTTGTTTGACAGATTTTTAGCCCGAGAAAGGAAAGACCATTCATATGCAAAAGCTGCTGCGAATAGCTTGTGTGGGGTTATAAATTGGGTGGGGCGGGGTCTCAGAGAATCACCAGGGTGGAGCAAACAGAAATGGCTGCCAGTCAGCCCTGCAGCCCTGCACCGGGGAAGTCCCAGCACCGGAACAAGGACTGCCGTAAGCACCTCCGTCTGGAAGAAAGTTGCCCCAAGTTCCAACCCCAATGCCAGACAGTCCAATTTCTCCCTGTATGTGTCTGGGTCCCCCAGAGCCTTGCCTGGCACTGGAGCTCAGAGGAAGTGAGAGCTTGTAAATTCAGTTTGTGGTGCCGGCCTTTTAGGAGGAGCAGCTGGGTCTCCAGCAGCCTGTGTGTCACTCAGCCCCAATCCCCACTGGTTTTTACAGTCCATAGTTCTTACTGCCCATAGGGACTTCTTTCCCCAGCTCTGGAACCCTGGGCTGGGTGTCTGGTGTGGGGCTGGGACCCCTTGCTCCTCCAGGCGGCCTCCGCAGAGGCTATCTCCCTCCCAATTATCTCCCCCCAGCTCGTTCTGTGCCTCCGCGCCTCCTACCAGTCTCAGTGTGCTTTCTTCTTTACTTCTCTAGTTGTAGTACTTCCATTCAGCCAGCTTTCTGGTGGTTCTGGATGATAGCTGTTCTGCATTTTAGTTGTAATTTTGATGTGGATGTGGGAGGCAGCAAGAACGGGCATTTACCTATGCTGCCATTGTGGTTCTCTTTTTTGTAGACTTCTTAAAATTCAGCTTCCCAGGAAAAATGAGTTGAGAGGTTGGAAGGTCACTGTGTGATAGGGCAGGTACTGAATCTCCCATTGCCCATCCTGAGGATGCTTGAACACAAGCTGAACTGCTCCTCTGCGGCATCTTCGCTGGAACTGCCCACTAAAATGGTCCTTGACATGCATTCAGTTGAGCAGCTTTCAATGCTTTTCTAGTTTCATCTGGCTGCTATGGTTCAAATGAGATACTTGTGGGCTGCCTTGGACCCTTTTTGGGAAGATGTGCGGCATATATGAAAAACAAAGTAAAATGGGTACATAGACTTAAGCAGACAAAGGGTCCAAGAAACATTAACCTCTGTGATTCCAGAGCTGTTGGGGCAGAGGAAGAAGAATTGTGGAAGAATAGATGCCTAAGAGGTGAGGCTAGGAGGAGAGATCTGTAGACTTTTGAGTGAGCCAACTTGGCCAATAGCAGGGAAATAGGATGGGTTTTTTAAAATTAACTTTTAAGAATAGCTTTATTTGGGTACTTGTGAATAAATAATACTCTTACATGATTTAAAATTCATAATGGTACAAAAAGGTAATCAGTGGAAGGTTTTCCTTCCATCCCGTCTGTGAAACTTCCAGTTCCTTCCCTGGAGGGTCCTTGAGTATCCTTCCAGATGTTTAATGCATGTAAAGTATTTGTTTTTAATGGAATTTTGATAAATTAACACTTACTCAAAGCTAATAAACTGATTCCATTGAGTTCCTTTTATGAAAGATAACCAGGTTTTATTTAATTGCAGGGTTCAAATTTTACAACAGAGAACCTCTCATATATGCTCATACTGATTTAACCCCAGAGAAAACTCACCCCTCTGTTAATCTTCAGCAAACCCAGGTTTTCATGACTATGAGTTTATGGGAGAACCAATATGATTAGGTTTCCCAGAGGCAGGTGTTTCTTGTGTTAGTTGTGGGGATCCTCGATGGGTTGCCATATTTATCCAGTGTTTGACTCTTGTCTGTTGACTTTGTTAGGTGTTAGAGCCTCAGACCAGATGCTGTGCATGTGTGGTGCCCCTGCCTGCTCAGCCACATCCTTCTGTTCTAGGTTCTCCCATGGCACCGGCCAGTGTGGGCAACTGTAGTGTAAGCAACTGCAGTGTGGGCAACTGCAGCCCTGAAGCAGTGTGGCCCAAAACGGAACCTCTGGAGATGGAAGTACCCCAGGCACCTATACAGCCCTTCTATAGCTCTCCAGAGCTGTGGATCAGCTCTCTTCCAAGTAAGTGAGCCCTGGGCTTTCTTGGTGGGTCTTCAGCTCCTAATATAGTCCCTTCCTGCCTTGTCTTCTGCTTCCATTTCTTTGCCTTGTATAGAATAGCTACCTTTTCCACAGTTGCCTTCTGCGTATGGTTCCTGGCCAGCTGATGATGGGTTACCAGGGCAGAAATAAGCCAGGTGATGGTGAGTTACCAGGGCAGAAATAAAGAGACAGTAGCCTATGCCTAATTGCCCAAGAGGATGCTCTGATTGGTTTCAGCTCCAGGTTACTCACCTTTTAAGTGAGTGGGAGTCCTGGTTTTATCAGTTTGGTTAGGGCAGCCGTGGGCAAACTACGGCCCGTGGGCCGGATCCGGCCCGTTTGAAATGAATAAAAATAAAAAACAAAAAGACCGTACCCTTTTATGTAATGATGTTTACTTTGAATTTATATTAGTTCACACAAACACTCCATCCATGCTTTTGTTCCGGCCCTCCGGTCCAGTTTAAGAACCCATTGTGGCCCTCGAGTCAAAAAGTTTGCCCACCCCTGGGTTAGGGGATTTGGGGATAAGACTAGTGGTGGGATAGGGAGGTAATGGCCATGGATTTAGTAAAGGGGGCTTTTAGATTTTGAGAGGCTTTAAGGTTCAGAGAAAATCTCTTTCTGGATTGGGCACAAATTTATTTCAATGAAGAATCATTGTCGCCCTAGCTGGGTAGCTCAGTTGGTTAGAGCATCGTCCTGATGTGCTAAGGTTGATCCTCGGTCAGGGCACCCTATTGTCTGTGTCCATGCAATGAATTCATAAATAAGTGGAACAAGTCGATGTTTCTCTCCCTCTCTCCCTTCCTCTCTCTTTCTCTAAAATCAATTAACAAAATTTAAAAAAATTATATTAAAATAAAAAAAGAATCATTGTCAATTCTCCATCTCCCTTTCAATCTACACATAGGGAGGAGCAGGAGAGAATGCTAGAATTTTGTCCAAGAGGCTAATAGCTTTAATAAGACCATAGGGAGACTTGCTGAATGAAAATTTAGTTTGCTGTGAGCTGTATCTTTTTTATGATATATTGTTAAAACAGAAAGATGAGTTGGTATTCTTGTTTTGCTGGTTTCTTTAAAAATGTGACACAAACCAGATACCTTAGTTTCTAGCTCCTTCCCATGCCTATAGATACAGAGACTCAATATGAAATGGGAAGACCAGGACTCGGACCTTAGCTTGGAGGAATTCTAGCCCTTAGGGTGTGGTGATTGAACAGAGATAGGAATGATGGACCTTTGAACTGTTTGCTTCAAGACAGCCTTCTGCGTGACTGTTTCAGGGTTATGTTGATGTCTCCCTCTATTGCAGGGAGGATAACTATGGCCATGGCCTTCCTGAACGCTGGTAGAAAGGTGACTCAATCTTGATGGACTTGTATGAGTCTTAGGGATAAATGGGCAGAGCAGCAGAGCAGGACCCTCACTGTCCTCTCTCACCTTGCAGTGACTGACCTGGACATCAAGTTTCAGTACCGTGGAAAGGAGTATGTGCAGACCTTGACCGTGAGCAACCCCCAGGGCTGCCGGCTCTTCTATGGGGATCTGGGTCCCATGCCTGACCAGGAGGAGCTCTTTGGTCCTGTCAGTCTGGAGCAGGTCAAGTTCCCAGGTCCGGAGCACATCACCAATGAGAAGCAGAAGCTGTTCACCAGCAAGCTGCTAGACGTCATGGACAGAGGACTGATCCTGGAGGTCAGCGGTCACGCCATTTATGCCATCAGGCTGTGCCAGTGCAAGGTGTACTGGTCGGGGCCATGTGCCCCATCACTTGTTGCTCCCAACCTGATTGAGAGGCAAAAGAAGGTCAAACTCTTTTGTCTGGAAACATTCCTTAGTGGTGAGTCTCTTTTCAGAAGGTTGATGGGTGGGAAGTGGTCCCTGGAAATATGTCTTCCTCCATCCCTCCTCCCTTCCCTGGCTCTGCAAAGGTTTTTTTTCTGGAGGAAGTAAAGGTCGAAAAGAACCTTGGTTCTGAGAAATGAAAGTGACCTGGGCAACAAAGAAGGGCGTTCCACTCCAATGCTCTGTACTTAGACACTATTTTTAGTTGGTTTTTAGCACCTTTAGTGGCAGAAGAGGGAAACGGCCTCGTCATTAGCTCCCAAATGCTACCAGTTTATCCTTAACTTTGGAAGGTGACCCTGTTCATCATAATCAGCAAGACGTATACTCTTCTCCTTTGAAAAATATCCGAACGGTGACTTCAAGCAGGCACATTTAGGGAGAGCACTGCATTGTGAATTTTACAATGTGGTTTGAACCCCAAGTCTAACTCAGTGGTTTCCTCTGAAATGATGAAAATGTTCTGTTTTTGTGTTGTCCAGTATGGTAGCCACTAGCCACATGTGGCTATTGAGCATGTTCATGTGACTAAGCAACTAATTTTAATGAACTTAAATTGAATAGTCACATGTGGTGGCTAGTGCCTACCACATTAGGATGGTATTTACGGAGTGGGTATGGAATGACCCAGTACACCAACCAAACCTGCTCTCCACCTTCTGCAGATCTCATTGCCCACCAGAAGGGACAGATAGAGAAGCAGCCGCCATTTGAGATCTACTTATGCTTTGGAGAAGAATGGCCAGACGGGAAACCCCCGGAAAGGAAACTCATCTTGGTTCAGGTGAGGAGATAAGGATATGTCAATAACTCTTTACCTTTTCATCAAAGCTTTAGCTCCGAGGTCTGAGGTAGAGCCCTGAGCAAAGGACTCATCAGACTGTGTGGGTTTTAATCCCATCAGATGGAGTAGCAGACTCAAGCTTTGCACGTTGCACAGTAGGTCCACGATGGGGAATACAAGGTCCTCAAAGTGGGTGACGGTTTTAGTGGAGACCGTGGCTTTCATTCTCTTACTGACATTAGAGTCTTGCTGAAACCTAACAGGATATGACCCTTACAGCTTTTTGACAAAAACCTTTCAGTTACTTTTAAGAACACAACCTTATTCTAGGAAGTAAAATCAAGATCACTTGGGTTTGGCCCCTGGATTTGTACAAGACTAGGCAATAGATGAAATTTGGGTAAACGTCTTGCTGAATAAGCAGTTACTTGTTTAGATATGTGATATGATGCTACATCTAGATTCTTTACCTTCATTTTGAACCAACTTTTAGAATAAACCCTAATAGGATGGTTCGGAGAGATGAAGGCATATACTATATCTAGAGTGGGGGGGTGTTCCGTAGGGCCTCACTGGTCCTTCCTTCAATCTTGAGTCCCTCCTGCTGTTGAAAAATACCCTTTCCTCAGCAGACACCTGTGTGCTCTGTGTCCTGAACAGGTTATTCCGGTGGTGGCTCGAATGATCTACGAGATGTTTTCTGGTGATTTCACACGATCCTTTGACAGTGGCAGTGTCCGCCTGCAGATCTCGACTCCAGACATCAAAGATAACATCGTTGCTCAGCTGAAGCAGCTGTATCGCATCCTCCAAACCCAGGAAAGCTGGCAGCCCATGCAGTCTACCCCCAACATGCAGCTGCCCCCGGCCCTGCCGGCTCAGTAATCGAGAATGCCATCTTCCTTCTCTTTTTTTACAATATTGTACATATGGATATTTTTTATTATTCAGATTTAACCAGCTTGTAAAACCCCTTTTCTTTCTAACAATGTTAGTAGTTTCTGACTCTCCAAATATGCCTGGTTCTTAAAGTTGATTTAATTTATGGAAAAATCACCCTTTATACTTTCCCTTTCTTTTTTATAAACATCCCAATGGTAGTAGAATTGTAGTAGAAGGAGATTTGGACACCAGGGTTCTAACGACGGCTTTACTCTCAATGTACGACCTTGAACCAAGTCATTTAACCTCTGGGCTTCAGATTCATTACTGTCAAAGTGAAGGGGTTGGAATGATGCCTGAAATAATGCCAGCTTTAAAACTCTGACTCGATGACCTCATTCTACTTGTACAAGGCAAAACTGCCTGGAACAGAACCCTTCTGAATTGTTCTTGTACCACTTTTTTTTTTCTTGCCTTCATTAAAGTTCCCTCAGCACTGATTTGTCCAAGATTGATCTCTGTTTGACCTGTTCTGCTAGTATAGTAAGCTGGCTCCCCGATGGGGGAAGTGAGAGGGAAGGGAGCCAGCTGGTTGCTTAGGAACCAAACATGATATCTAAATAGAAATAGGTGCCAAAGTCTGAAAGTCACCCGGCCTGTGGAGTAAACGCTCATAAATTGAGCTTCTAAAGGGAAGCTGTCAACACAGAGGGCCCAGGATCCCGTGGACGAATTGGTTGGCTGGTGTTTGCCTCGTCACCACTCAGAT